CTTTGCACTCTAACCAACGAGAGGGCATACGGTTAATGAGGTAGGTAGAACAAAGAACAGCCTCAAGCCAAAAACGTTTGGGGACATTCATATGGATTAGTAACCCCGGGCCACTTCAAGGAGATGTCGGTTCTTTCGTTCAGCAACACCATTTTGTTGTGGTGTTCGGGCACAAGAGCTACGGTGAAGTAAACCACGCGAAGCAAAGAATTCCGTGAGATCACTATGAAAATACTCTTTCGCATTATCTGACTGAAAAATTTGGATTTTAGTTTGAAATTGAGTGAAGACCATCCGCTAAAAATCTTGGATAATTTTTGGTACTTCCTCCCTGGTTCGCATGGGATATACCCAAGTATATCTAGAATAATCATCAATGATGGTAATAAAATACTTGTAACCACTTTCAAATGGTAAAGTAACAGGGCCCCACACATCTAAATGAACAATGTGAAAAGGAAATTCAGATTTACTATTTTTTGGAAGAAAATGAGTTCTACAATGTTTACACAATTGACACGTTTGACAAGAGAAATCTAAAACGGACACTGACTTAAACAGATCTGGAAACACCACTTTCAACGACTCAAAAGATAAATGACCAAGGCGACAATGCCATAAATAAACTTGACTCTTACAAGACTGATTCTTAGACTATGTAACATGAAGACCAGCCTTATTCTCCAGCATGTAAAGTCCATCAACCATACGTCCTCTACCAATCGTCCTCCCCGAGGCCAGATCCTGGATCACACAGTAAGAAGGGAAAAAGGTCACTGAGCAGTTTAAGGAATTAGTAACACTACTAACAGAGAACAAATTAATGGGAAATTTTGGAACATGTAAAACATCAGAGAGGGTAAGGCCGAGGGGAAGAGAGACGGTTCCTTGGCCAGCTATGGAAGCATATGATCCATCAACTAGCCTCACCTTGTCTCTTCCAGAAAGAAGGTGATAGGTTTGAAAGTAAGAGAACGTACCAGTCAAGTGTTTTGACGCTCCAAAATCAATGATCCATGGAGAGTCAAGGGTATGAGAAGCAACATGGAAAGTTGTGGCAGAGTTACCTGATGTAGACGCAAATGAGGTTGAGGGAGGAGCATCCATCTGACGAATTGCTCTACCATAGAGCTCTAAATGGTTACGGAAGGAATTCATAATATCCTCCCTTGGGTCAGATCCAGATGAATGTGTCTGAGTCACAGTATGGATGGGGGGTTGATTCTCTCGAGTAGCCATGATGGCCATAGTGTGTTTCTTTGTACCTTGTTGTCCTGACTTTTTATTCATATCTGAACTTTGCTTCTTATTCAGATCTTGAGCCCATTTTGGCTTTCCATGAAAATCCCAGCATGTGTGTCGAGGCTTCTGGCAATGAGTACACCACAACTTATCTTTGTCATCCATTTTTTTCTGAAGATCTCCTTTCCTGGAAGAATTTCCTCCACTAGTAGTAACATTCCCTTTCGCAGCCAACACAACTGCATCTCCACCAGAACTGTTCATCAAATTCCTTCTGCTTTCTTCAGATTGTACAAGAGCATAAACTTCCTGAACTGATGGAAGATCCTTAGAACCGAGGATATGGATCCCTGATAGATTCATATGTAGGGTTCAAACCATGTAAGAAAGCAAACACTCTCTGCTAGGAGACTAGTTTTTTGTACAGTTTTGCATCTTCATCACACTTCCATTCCACACTCTGATAATGATCCAACTCCTTCCAGACAGAAGTCAAGTCAGAGTAATATACAGATAGACACCTCTCCCCCTGTTTACAAGTAGACGATTCTACCTGTAGTT